TGTCTAAAGGCTTGTATCTGCCAGTTTTTTTTGTTTGTTTTTTATTGAGACACAGTCTCACTATGTCACCCTTTGTAGAGTACTGTAGTGTCACAGCTCACAGCAACCTCAAACTCTTGGGCTCAAGCAATTCTCTTGCCTCAGCCTCCCAGAGTGCTGGGATGATAGGCGTGAGCCACTGAGTGTAGCCTAGAGTTTGGCGAGTTATTGCTTAACTTTTCAGAGCATTAGTCCTCAACTTTAGTGTTAGATTTAAGAGCTTTGAGATGGTAAAACATCTTACCAACACCTTTGTTATTATTATAATAAATGCATATTAAAGCTTCTTATAAGTAGTAAAATATCATCAATCTTATTACCCTTGCTGACAGTGGATAACCCATGTTTTACAAGTGATTGAAAAAGCCATATTAGGGGCTTGCAAGAGTGTGAAAGGAAAAGAAGGGAGGGTAATAGGCCGTCAGGAGCTCAGTGTCTACCCATCTTTGAGAAATAGATGTTGTGTCAGCCATTGAGCTCTTGTTTACAAGAAATGTGTTGGGTACTTACCTGGGTAGTATTCATAGATGGTAAAGGCTCCTACCGTTAATATACTACTTAAAATAAGGTGGATAAATTAGGCTTACATGTGACTAGGGTAAAAGGTAGGATGGAGAGAGCATTAAAGCAGAGTCACCACATGTCGTGGGCAGTCAAGCAGGGAGGGGTCAGGATGGGCTTTTTGGAGGAAATGGGGGCTCGAGAGAGATATTGGAGGGGAAGGGACCATTTAGACAGTGGAGCCTGGGAGAAAAGTATGTTCTTAGTAAATGGAGTAAGAATAAACGGAGGTCTAGGAGAATAACATAAACAGAGCTCACTTCCATTCGATTAACACTTCTAAAATAACAGGGAGACCGCAGCTCTTGCGTTTATGTGTAAGAAAAGTTATAGTTAAATCTTTACTAGGTGTTTTGTATTTCTCTAGTGAAATGAAGTTTTAGTGCTTCATTAGCGTCATCTAATCATGGGTGCTGCAGGTTAAGTCTTTGACATAAAGACATTATTGATGAATTAAAGCCCAGTATAATTTCTTTCAAGGTATAATATGAACTCGATGCTTAATTTTCAGGTTACACAAATAGGAAGGACGTGGTGTGTGTGGTATATGCAGGCTCGTTACTGTCCACAGCCTTGGTCACCAGTAAATGAAGGTCATTCCTCTGCCTTGACCTTAAAGTGAGGTGGCTTGGACTGGGACCTTTTTGTCTCATCTTTAAGTTCTAATAGTTGGGCAGAAATAGGGAGAAAGAGACACCCCTGTTTCAACTAGAGGCCTCTGCTTGGCATGGGATCTTTTTACTTGTCTTTAAGAGAAGATGTGGATTTTACTATTACTCAGTGTGATAGTTTAAAATTCAACAATAAATTTACGGATTTAATTAGGTTTTAAAATCAAGGTCTTTTTATTATAATGTGAATCTACTTTATTAAAGGATTTTAGAAGCAGTGCATCTGTTTCGTGTGTCTGATTATGGTTTAAAATGAGGAAACATTGAGTGTCTCGTGTGATTTCTAAATCAATGGGAGATGTTGGGCTTTCTGTTCAGAACTGCACACTCAGTGGAAGGTGGAGCCAAGATTAAAAGCGTGAGCCGGATTCCTTATTTTATAGACTGATCACAATTACCACTAGAGAATCTTGTAAGTTCTTCATACCTCGATGATGACTTTTTTGACTTTGTCATTAGGTCAGCATTGGGAAAATGAGGCTAAACGAAGCAAGATAAAGAACCCAGAGCACACTTGATGTTGAAACTGTGTCATATTTCAAACTTCCCCTTTATTCTTGCATTTATCATCTGAACTAGTTGGGAACCATATTTTCTTGTATAGTCCTGTCAGACGTTTCCTAAAGGACTGTGAAGGAGTCATCCGTGTATTCTTGATTCCATCTGTGTTGAAATAGACACCCATCTCTCATACAGGAACACTGAATAATGGTCCTCTCACGGCCAGATTGCTTTGCAGAGCACCAAGAGAAAATTTGAAACTGCAAAAGAGAAAATTTGAAACTGCAATCAATAGACTGGTTTCTGGAACACTTTCCAAGGTTATCTAAGGTCCAATAGTTGCTACCTTTATCACTGAAATTTTACCTTTTATTTTCTTTGCTGAGATAGTTGATAACCAATATGGTTTGAGAGCTTACTGTGTGTCAGACACTGTGCTGAGCGCTTTATCTATACATACATTCACTCAGGTACTCCTCAGGTGAGTTCTTCTCCACTTAGCAGATAAAGACACTGAGGTCCAGAGAAGTGATGGAACTTACCCACGAGGTTGCCACTAAGTACTGGTAGGGTGCAGGATTCTAACCTGCTAATCTGCTTCCAGAGCTCATACTCCCAATCCTGTGGCCGTATTGACAGAGTAGCTCCTAAGTGGTCACTGCGCTCTTCTTTGGGGCAGGAATTATTGTAGTGCATTCAGTCCCAGTGATCTCTGTGAAAGGACAAATTAGCTTTCCTTTCTTAGTCAAGGAATGAGGCCATGGGGAGGAAAGAACACTCTACGAGGAAATGAGGGGTCACACCAGGAGTTCTCTGGGACACATCTTCCGAAAGGGTCACTTGCACTTGAGGGAAGCTCAGAAGAAGTTTCGGTGATGGTGAGGGGGGAAGAGAAGGAAGGGTCCCCATGGCAGGGTTCCTGAGCATCTCGATATGCCTGTGCACCCACAGATAGCGATTTCATTGGTGGCTTCACACCCAGTAGGGCATAAAGCCTGTATATGTATTCCACTTCATACACAAATAAAGGCAGGCTACATGGAATGCTTTTTCTAAGTCTCAGAGAAAGCTTCTGTATACAGCTTTGCTTACAGTTTCCTAGGACTCAGATTTCTTTGTCTTCTCATGACAGTCAACATAGGTATTGTGATTTCTCTACCTGTAGCCAGAGCTGTGCACTGTCAGATAAAGGCAGAACGGCCAGTCAACCTTTCTGCTTTGATGTGTTGGATGGAATGGTAATGATTGTTGCCATTGAGTTTCCTGGTACTTACCAGGCACATACCTCATTTGCTCTTCGTAATAATCCTGGGAGTTAAGTATTAATTCTCTGCTGTGTAGATAAGAAAAATGGGTAAGTCTGGAGAAAGATGAGTGATGTGTCCAAGCCCGACAGTGCTCTTGTTTTTCTCACTGACTGATAATTTATTAAGTAGGCGACCTCTATCCTTCTTCCTGAAAACCTAAACCAGAACTACTCAAATTGAAAATGTCAAGTAGCGTGTTCAGCTTGTTCCAGAGTTTTACCTCTCTTGTGAGAAAAGGTGTTAATTCCTCTTTGTAGAGCATGATTTATTTTTTTAAAAAACAATTTAGAACTAAAAAATTCCCTTCAATGTTTTATATACATATAAATATTCATATACATATATATATATATACACATACAGACACACATATACACACATACAGCCTCTCTGAAACTTGAGGCCCGTTGTCTTCAGAATTGTCCTTGCTGAGTGTATTGGTGGGTCCTTATATCACTGTGATACAAAACGTGACCCTCATGTTTGGAGACCTGTTCCCTCTTGGGTGATGACTTTGGCAAGTACCTGGGCTCGGAATTTTATGAATATTGAGGCTAGTGCTGTAAGTCCTGGGCTCATGTCTAGACAATGTGGTGATAGTTGTTCTATCAAAGAAAAAATTATTCTGACGCTTGTTAAAACAATAGGGAAGACTATAGGTGGGACTGTTACAAAGTCTTAGAGACTCTCAGTAGGCAAGAGAGGGCAGGCTGGATGCTAAACACAAGGACAGGTGGACAGTTATAGCTGAGGAGCAGGATGAGGGGAGTTTGGGGGTGGAAAATGCCTAAGAAGGGACATCGAGGGTAGAAGGATTCTTGCTAAGGGTAGGCCAAGGACTTCTGTGTCTAAGTTGGGGAATGAGGAATTTGAACAGATACTGAGGGTGTGGGATTCTCCATAAACTGATTTAGCAGGATCCTTGCTTCAGGCCAGGCATGTCTAGCAAGGGTCAGGATGAAGATGGAGGCCTACTTGAGAAGAGGGCTTCACAGGGTCCAACTAAAGTTTAGTCACAGACAGAGTCTTTGTTCTTCTGGGTAGATACCTAGTAACGGGATTGCAGGTCAGATGGAAGGTCTACTTTTAGATCTTTGAGGATTCTCCATACTTCTCTTCAAAAAGGAGGGAATTAGTTTGCAGTCTCACCAGCAGTGTAGAAGTTTTCCCTTCTCTCCACATCCACAAAGACATTGCCACTAGAATGTTTATTGTAGCTCAATTCATAATCGCCAAGTCATGGAAGCAACCTAAGTGCCCATTAACCCATGAATGGATCAACAAGCTGGTATGTATGTCTACCATGGAACATTATGCAGCCATTAAAAAGATGGAGACTTTACATCTTTTACATTTATCTGGATGGAGTTGAAATATATTCTTCTTAGTAAAGTATCACAAGAATGGACAAATAAATATCCAGTGTACTCCATACTAATATGAAATCAATATATAAACAATTACATGCTCATAAGAACAATAAAACACGAATAGAGTGCAGTTTGGGGGTAGAAGGAAGGGGGGGAGGAGGGAGGATGTATGGCAGAAGGAGGGAGGGCCTGAGGCGGGATCTCACCTGATGTGCACACTGTGAGGGTGTATAATACGCCCCCTGGGGGAGGGGCTCTTCTACAAATGGGACTTTACCCTGGAAGTGAGAACAATGTAACCTAAAAATTATACCCTCATATTAATTTGATTTAATCAAAAATTTTTTTTAAAAATCAAAAATACTAATAAAAATAAAACAGAACATCTTTGTTAGTTCTTACTGCATGAATTAAACATAGGGATTTAGGTTTTGGATTTGAGCCTATGCAAGGCAGATAATATTAAATGAAGTATAAAGTGAATTCCAGAAAAGTCTCTTTTCTCTTTGGTCCCAACATCTGTGGCAGGGTTGACATAAATGATCAGAGCACTACTTGCCTGCATCCTGATACCATGATCACCAAGGTGGTTCTCCCAGGGCAAGGCTTATCTCTGGCACTCCGGATGTGCTGACCCCTGCAGTCTCTTCAAATGTGGAGAACTTGACTGCATAATTTGTGGTAGTGGGGGACTGTATTCGTATTTTCTATTGGAAAAAAAATAAAACATAAATAGAGTGATCAGAGTAGCTCTGAGAGACGGGCCCCTTGAAGTTGTCTTGAGGCTGCACTGTAACGTTGATTTATTTTTATTTAACAAATTTAAATGGTGCTTATGAAGTGCCAAGCATTGATCTAAACCCTTTGCAAATATTGACTCATTGAATCTGTGTATAATCCTATAAGGTGGTTACAGCACTGTAATTCCCTTTTTACATACAGTCATGCCTTGCTCAATGACCAGGACACAGTCTGAGGAATGCTACTGTGGGTGTTTTGTCATTGTGCGAACATCATAGAGTGCCCTTACACAAACTCAGACCTCACAGCCTGCTGTGCGCCCAGGCTGTACAATGTAGCTTATTGCGCCTAGGATACAGACCTGTGCGGTGTGTAGGTGTCGAACACAGTGGTATTTGTGTTTAGAACACAGAAGAGGTGCAGTGGAAACAGTGTGAGAGCCACACAGTGGTACAGACGCCTCTGTGAGGGCAGCTCCGTTATCATCTCAGGGACCACAGTGGTCTATACGTTTACTGTGTGGTGCCTGATTGTGTGAGGAGACAAAGGCCCAGAGGATTTAAGTACTTTGCCCAAGGTCACAGAGCAAGTATGGGGGCCGGCAGAATTGGTGGGGCTTGGATTTCAACCCAGGCCGCCTGGCTCCAGAGTTTACATTCTTAAACACTCTGTTAAGTTGCATCCCAGGCTGTTGATTCCCAGGGATTTACTTCTTATTATTCTGAGCTTTTCTTTTTCTGCCCAGAAGTAAAGAATTCTTTCTCTGGGTTTAGTCAGACTCTGGACCTTGTTCAGACTGAAGTCAGGATTGGAGAGTATGTTGAGCTTGGGTCATCTCTTACCTTCTGTGTCAAAACCACTAGTTTATTGGTTTTCCTACTATTATCACAGTCTGTATGGAATGTTGTTGGTGACTCTATCCAGTCCGCCATTACCTTTTTCTCCCCCCTGCACTAGCAGCCTCAGTGACAATTCTTCTTCTTCTTCTTCTTTTTGAGATAGAGTCTCATTATGTCGCTCTTGGTAGTGTTGTGGCATCACAGCTCACAGCAACCTTCAACTCCTGGGCGCAAGTGATTCTCTTGCCTCAGTCTCCTGAGTAGCTAGGACTACAGGTGCAGGCCACAATGCCTGGCTATTTTTAGAGACGATGTCACGCTCTTGCTCAGGCTGGTCTTGAACCCGTGAGCTTAGACAATCCACCTGCCTCGGCCTTCCAGAGTGCTGGGATTACAGGCATTGAGCCTTGGTGCCTGACCCTCTTCTTCTTCCCTTCCTTCCGCTTCCCCCCTTCTCTCCCCCTCCCCCCTCCTCCTCACCTTCTTCTTTGTTTTTTTTAAATGCTCTGTGAGTGGTAATTCCTTGACAGAGGTTTTTGTACAGATAATAAACATACATCAAAACACTTTCTTAAGGGGACAAATTCCCTTTGAGCAGAGCACAGTCCATTTTCTAAAATATTTATTTAATAATCTCTTTAAATTTTACTTAAATTAATCAAACTGATATTTTAAAAGCTTCTGGTTAATAAACTAGGATGATGTGACTAAAACCAAGTCATATACTGTTACATGGAGAAACTCTTTCATATGGCCTGGAACCTTACCTGACAGTTATTTTTCCTCTTTGACTTGCAGACCTGTCTATAGCAGTCCAGAAATTTTCCCAGTCACTACAAGATTTCCAATTTGAATGTATCGGTGATGCTGAAACAGATGATGAAATCAGTATTGGTGAGTAGTGGTCTTCTTCAGTATCCTAAGTCATAATTTTAAAGCCCTATTTCGATAATTTATTTCATTAAAATCAAGCAGACTCACACACGCAAATGATGAACATCTAAAATATATTCTGGCTTTGATAAAACTATGTGTAAAGGTGATTCGAGTTTCTGTGGAAGAGAATATTATAAGTTGTTTTAGAATTGAAGCTCTGTGGGTTTTTTTCATAAGGAAATTACTTAATTGTTCTATAATTCAGGTCAGCCCTGCTTTGAATTATTTATTTAAACAAATATATATTGGGTATTTACTACTAAGTGTACCAGGTGCTTGTTTTAAGAATTATCTTCCTTTTTTTTCTTAACTTAATGCTGATTTCTTTTTTCACTTTATGAAGGAAAACAGTCAGTCATGATGTCCTACGCTGGTCTTCTTGTAGGACATGGAGCACTGTTGCGGACCAGGTGACTTGAGCCCTTATCCGATGCGGCAGTGATTTAGAAATCTAACCCTGGTGAAAGCCGGCCCCTTCTGGAATCAGATGGTTTCATTGCCCATAAAATGAAGATGTTGGGTTATGTGACCTCTGAGGTTTTATCTGAATTTTTACTGTTTGAAGGACAGATACGTGTAGCATTCTGTCCCCCACCTTTTAAAGATCCCCACTTGCCGGTTTATAGGCATGAGGTTCTTTATAGTCTGGATTAGAGACATGTCATGTAATCAAAACAGTGCGTTAAATATGTATGTACATTTACCATTATTCTCTGAAGTATATATACATATTTAATAATGTTGGTGACTCCAATCCACCATTACCTTTTATTTAATATGTATATACACTTTAGAGAATAATGTTAAATGTACTCACCTTCTAGGAATTAAAATACAGTGTTAAACGTAATTAGAACAGCGATTCCCAAACTTTAATGCATATAAGGAAACACCTGGAGATGTTACTAAGTGTGGATTTTGAGTCGTTAGGTTTTGGGTAGAACATAAGGTTCTGCATTTGTAACAGACTTGAGCAGTATGTGCCCGCTGCTGGCCCAGAGACCCCACTCTGAGTGGCCCGGACTCCATTCTCCTCCGTGCCTCTCCACAGCCACAGTCCTCTCCCGCCGTGGCCCTTTCTCTTGTGCAGCTTTGGGAGCAAGTCCAGGAAAGGAGAGGGAGTATTATCCCTGTGAAGTGAAAGCTCAGAAGGGAGACTGAATGCGCTTCTGAGTCACCGTGTGGCTGTCGTGTGCCTGTGTTTATAACACTCCTGGGGAAGATGGCTGGGCAGAGTGCAGAGTCCGTGGACACGCTGTTTCTGCCCGTGGAATTCACTCACGCCACATCATTAGGGTCAGCCTGGCAGCCTTCTGAGGGGACACACGCCACTGGTGCTTTTTTGACTCTCCCTCCTTAGGTGTGTGAGTCACACTCTGAGGGAGTGTGGAGGTGGCCAGTCTCCTGGCCTCTGTCCTGTGATGAAAGGTGGCCCAGCCATGCCTGTCACTTAGCTGAGGTGTAGTTAGGGAGCCTCCTGGAAGAGGAGGGAGCCCTGCCAGCTGGCCCTGGCCAATGTGAGTCTTTCCTCTTTCCTAGAAGAGTGGGAGCGGGCAGCTGGAGTGACCACGCACCACCAGCATTTGCTCCAGTTGCCATTTTGCTTGTCACATCTTAATTTTTGTGTCTTAAATGTCTGGTCTCCAGCACAGGTTTGTAAAATACCCTTAGCCAGATGATGGCCTAGATATGTGACTAAAATACAAATACATTAGTATTGTTATTTTGAAAAAGAATAACTACATATTTACGTAACAATTATTTTTACTTAGTCAAAAAACAGTAAATTTCATGAAGACAAAAGCCAGATGTGGCTTTTCTTTCTGTCTTTTTCTTTTTAAACCATGTTAACCTTTGTACTTGACTCAGAACCTGAATAATGACAGGCCCTCAGATAAATTGTTGAGTAGAAAACCATAATTTTTCTTATAAACTTTAATTTTTTTCCACTTATGTGCATGTTTTTCTGATAGAATATGTATAATTTGGTATTTTTTGGAAAGAAGATTATAACAAACATTTCTGAGTTCTCACAGATTTTATACAATTTTAACGCTTTCAATGACTTTATTCTATTAGGTCAGATACATGAATTCATGAAATAATCTTTCTAGCCCACTCAGATTGCCCCTGGTGGTTACTGTTAAGAGGACAGTAGACATCTTTCTGTATGTTTAATTACCATTAGGCTTCTTCCTTAAAATACCCCTTGAAGTCCCACGTGTGGGCACTGACCCCAGACACTGGGCTTTCTCTAACTGTGCTGTGCAGCCTTCCAGGCAAAGTTTGGTGACTCCCCAAGTTGTGTTGACCTTGATATCTCAACAGTGGTCTGTTTGGAGTCTTCCCACTTCGGCTAACTGAATATTGTTGTGTGCCTATTGCAGATTAGATTTGAAAGGTGTGGACTGATCAGTAGGTGAAGGCTCCTAGGCAATGAATATTGAATTTGAGTGATTAAAGTTTAAGGGTTTTGAGAAATTGTGTCTCAGGTTGGAGACAGGAGATGAATAATATATAAGGGTAGACATAATGTCTGCCTCTGCCTCCTTGTAAAGCAGGAGACTTAAGTAACCTTTTGTATCAATGCTTTGTTAGGAAAACTTTATTTAGAGCAATACATTTATACACCTCAGTTAATTCTGGAACAGCTAATATAAAAATGTAAATATGTTCCTGCATCCTAATCATCCAACACTTTCTACCCTTTAACTGAGCTAAATACTTTGTAAAGAATTAAAAAAAAAAATGTAGATAACAAAAAACTAGTAGAAGCCTCATTTCTAATATAGAGGATTTTGAGACTATCCCAAGCTCTTCTATCCACGGCAGTGAGTGCAGAAATGTGTCCCTGAGACTAATGTGTACAGCTGCGTGGATGGAGCACTGGGACACGCTCGCTGGCCTGTGCTCTGGAGGAGGGGCACAGAGTTTCTGCGGCTGTCACAGAGTGAGAGGCACAGAGTTTCCGCGGCTGTCACAGTACCTTGAGGAAGCCCTTATTTCCGCTGCTTCATGGTTCCTCTGATGTGATGGAGGAGGAATGATGTGGGGACAGCTGTGCCTTTTAGTGTTGACTAAGAGCCACAGCTACTGGCCAGCGCAGTCTTAAGACCTACCGGTGTCTCTCAGTGAGAGAAGATGACTACAAAGAGCTTCCCTCCTGTGAGTCACGTCCCTGCAGGATGCGGCTGAAGGGGAGGCCTTGGCAGCTGAGCGTGTGGGAATGGGTAGGAGGCAATAGGAAGCCAACACGACGTCTGCCTTCCACGTGCTTCTGTGGAAGAGGAAAAACCAGACTGAGCAAAGTAAGGGAAGGAAGGTGGTGTGACCGTGTCAGTGTACTCGCCTGGCTTGTGGACGCAGTTCTGGGGGTTCATCCCGGCGTGTGCCCGCCCGTCTGCCCCTGCAGCTGCCCCTCCCTTCAGCTGCCCCCTCGGCCCCCTCTTTTGGCCTTGTGCTCTGGGGGGGTTTTGTTTCGCTTTGTGTTCTGTGCCTTGGAAGGAAGCAAAGTGGGATTAGTTGTCTGAGGTCCGGTGGGGAATTCCTGTGGCGCAGAGCTGGTCATTCGTTCACGGGACTGAAACCCTGAGCAGGACGCCCTTCTTGGGCCCCGTCCTTTTAGCTCCTTTTCTTCTTTTGTCCCCTTCCTTTCCATGCAAAAGCAGCAAGAAACCATTGCTCCTTCGCCCCACTAAGGATGCAGGTGAGCTCTGGCTGCTCCTTTCCTCTGCCCACAGCAGCGCGGGGGGTGGGGGGGTGGG